TGAGATTAAAATAAGTCTAGTCTAGCGCTTCGAAATGTAGATGGAAGCACATAAAACGTATCATTTGTTCGTAAAAAATTTAAGTTGCATGCCCATGCGTCTACGTCTACATAGACGTAGACGCATGGGCATGCATAGATAAATAAACATGTAGCAAGCTATGACAGACTAATCTAGCTTGCTACCACAGACTTAGAATATACTGGCGTATGGATGACCTGACAGCCCGAAAACGCGTGACTATTATATAATAAAAAATATAATAATTAAACACATTCATTATAGAAGTTTATTTAACTTTCGACTTAAATATTAATGTAAACTTAATAATTTAAATAAGGAAACTTGTAGGAATCAGTTAAATGGACGTGGTAGAACCATGCTGCAGCTATATTAGTAGTATAGTTGTACCTCGACCGGGGAAGGACCACGCTCTCACAGAATACCAGCGTAAAATAGCAGCTTAACGCTGCTGTGTTTCGTATGGTGAGTGTAGAGAACCAGAGACCCTTTTTACTGGAACCGAGGCATTTCATCTTAGTCCTCACGGGTGATGACGCATATGCATTTTGATTTGTAATCTAATGTCTATGGGCTAAAACAACCACTTACCATCAGCAGGACTATATGCTCGTTTATCACCCTATTCCTATAAAAAAGATTGCTCTGTTTAAAGACCAATATGTTTATGAGGCTTCATCGTGCTTCATGTTTATATTCTTTCATCTGTCCCTGAAAAGTATAAAGTAATAATAAACTCATAATCTTTTTAGCTGCATAAATCTTAAAAACATAATGATCTTAACAGAATAAAGTGCACCAAGTGTCTGAGGATACAGATGTACTCTCTATTCTCTCAATCTCAGTAAATTAAGAAAATGGTCATGGAACATATAGCTGACTTGAAGCTCACACTGTCTGGAAGTCTGCAGTGTGTGAACATGTTCAAGATCGTCCCCGCCATTACATTAGATTTGATAAACCACAAATCCTTGCAAAAGAACACCGATTCCTACCAAGGATGATTCGCGAGGCTATTGAAATTAAAAAAAAACATCTTAATTTCAATAGACAAGATGGATGAGGGCTGCCATCTGCTTGGGATCCTATAATTAATAAAATTAAATCCAAACCCAAGCATACTACTGCAAGACTTCAAGATACTGTAAGGTACTCATTCTGCGTAGATCGTAGGGTTAACTATTACATCGGGATGTCAAATACCTTAGGTCCCCCCCCCGTGACCACGGGTGCTGTAAAGCACCCGAAACGTTGGGAATTATACAGTTAAATTAAACGAGGAAAATGAAATAGTTTAAAGTCCAACAATCCCTACATCTACAACAAACACACACCACACACTGTAATTTACCTGGCTAAAGGCCCGTAAATACAGTTATTACCAACTTTTTTAAAAAGATTGAGCAAATTTAAGCATTTCCGATAGTAATAAAAGTATTTATTTGCCACAAAACTATACAATGTTAAAATGTAAATAGAAAGCTTAATAATAAATTGTGACAAAACGGTCTGTGACTCAGTTGTACAGGGTCTTAGGCAAGTGATGTAACACACATCTCAATAATAAATAAATAAATAAAAATTCAAACAATAAATAATAGTTACTAAAATATGAAATACAAAATACAAAAATACGAGAATATTCACCAATTTGACGGGATAGCAGAACCACTCAGAGCCAGGGACTGTTGTTGAATCAGCCACTTGCGGCATCTTTGTCGGAAGGTATATGGAGATAGGGTAGACCGGACTGGTGGTGGCAAATCGTTCCAGATTTTAGCAGCGGCGAATTTAAAACACCCCCTGGCTCCAACGAGTCTAATTCTGGGTACTGGAAGCCGATGACATTTTTTTCTGACCGAGAGCAAATTTTTTTGGTCAACAGCTATCTTATCGTACAAATATCTTGGAGACGATGTGTGATACAGTTTATGCAGAAAGCAAGCATATTTTAACTTGGTACAATTGGACATATTTAAAATGACATTACTGACTAAATAAGGTGAAATCCTATTTCTTTCTGGTATATTAAAAATAAAACGCATGCATGCGTTCTGCACTCTCTGTACATTCTTCGCAGTTTTTTTTTAAATAAGCAAGGACCATAAACAATATCACAATAATGAAGGTGGCATAGTACTAAACTGTTACAAAGCAGCAGTCTAATGTCACATTTTAGAAATTTGCGAATTTTATACAAATTTTTTAAAGATCCATAGCATTTGCCGATTTTTGTCTGAACATGTTGCTCAAATTTTAAATTCTCATCCATGAGGAGACCTAAATTGCGAACACAACCCTCGTAAGGTATGACGGTGTCAAAGATTTTTACATCAGGCTTCCGTGCATTAATCATTTTTACCTGGTACTTTGTTCCAAGTGTAATGGTAACACTCTTTGAAGGGTTGAGTACCAGACCATGTCTCAAAGACCACTCCGAAATAGAATCTAGATCTTTGTTTAGCTTGGAAATAGCAACAGCAACCTCCTCATCGATTGCCATTGTGTGAACATATACTTGACTGTCATCTGCATATAAATGAATTTTCGAGTGGGTTATTGCTTTTGTAACGTTGGCCGTGTATATTGCGAATAATGTGGGACCAAGTATCGAACCCTGGATAACACCTTTATTAAGTGGGAGCGTGTTGGAGACCCTTAGCAGTCCTTGACTATCCAAACATTGTACTTTCTGGCAAAGATTACGAAAGTAAGATTGAAACCAGGTGCAGGCCAAATCTGTAAAACCATAGTATTTTAATTTTGCCAATAGGACAGATATATCAACGCAATCGAAGGCGCGGCTGAAATCTAGCAAGACCATAATTGTTCCTTTACCCTCATTGGATGCAGCAAGAATATCATCAGTAATATTTAAGAGAGCTGATACTGTACTGTGATTTTTTCGGAAACCTGATTGAATCACAGGTAGTACTTGATTACGTTCTACATATGGTGAAATTTGACAATGAACGCATCTTTCAACTATTTTAGATAGTGCAGGGAGAATGCTTATTGGTCTTATATCAGAAAGATTATCCACCGTCGATTTTTTTAGGAATGGGAGTGACGATGACACATTTCCAAGATTCTGGAAATACTCCTTCCAATATAGATCTATTAGCTATCCCCACTATCGTTGACTATCGTTGCATTAGTAGCTGTAGAAGCAATTATATTTTCTACTAAAATTAAATTTACAGCTACAAATTGAAATTTCATTTCAGAATGGTCAAGTGGTTTAATTTCTTGAATTACACTTTTAGCAGGAGGTACATTTGATATGCTGTTTATAAAGTGACTATTAAGTGAATTAGGATCAAGAAGATGATCCGGTATAGAACGGCTTTTAACGCCAGGTGAAATTATTCGTTTTATATGACGCCACATCTGGGAAGTGTTTCCAATGATAAGTAATTCCAATGATTTCCAAGTTATTATCACGAGAGATTTTTTCAATGGTAGATAATCGACCATAAAGGGTATAAACTTCTTTCTAAGTTTAAAGTCTGAATCTGTAATTCTTTAATTTCTTTATCTTTTTGTTATACCTTTACTTTCAAATCCGCCTATTCAGCAGCTAAAAAGTCAGTAGCTTGCATGAGCTCATTTTTGAACTCATTAAGAGCTAAATTTATCTCCTGAGATATCATTGCCTTGATGTCCTCCTGAATAGCTGATCGCAGTTTGAGAAAAATTGGTGACGTAGTCGATAGTTTATTATCAAGTAAGTCACCGATTTCCTCTAAAGTTGCTGGTTTTTTGAATTTGGATGACTTGGCAGTTTTTCTGTCCCCTTCTCCATACAGCCTTCCGAGAAAATTGTATTTCCGCGAAAGGGGGTGTTCTGGTTGTCGCTCTTAGGTTGACGATTTTTACATGCGTGACATATCCACACAGTTTTACGTTCTTTGTCTAGCGAAATGAAGGTTTTTTTCATTAATCGTGGCACAGTCCAAATCATATTTTAGTTTACATGAACTACAACACAAAAACTGTCGATTAGTTATTTTAATCTGACAACCAGCACATTTCCCAGCAGAAGACATTTCGGTTCTTTCAAAAAAAATAAAGGTAAATCCTAAACCGTTCAGTAAGATCAAGCGATCAAGCGATGAAAGCGCTTAGTGCGAATCAAGCGACCACTGCACGAGTTGTCGTAGGTCAGGAACAGAAGCATGCAATAATTAAGTAAAAATTTTGTATCCTTACTTCTCTTAAATCACAAATTAATTTACTTTCACTACTACTCTGTTTTAAGGTAAATTTTCACAGCTTTTAAACGGTATAAATTAAATCATTAGATATTCGAGATTTAAGCCGAAAATATTCAATGATGACGGAGCAAAGCAATATACGTGTGTTTCACAAGATACCCGCCGATTCATTGGGTAGGGTCAAAGGTAATAGGGTCTCTATACGCCAGTAAATTCTAAGTCTATGGTACATACTAAATCTATGTTTTTCTTTGATAGTCACATGTCAGTAGGCTTAGAAGAGCTAGAACCCAGAGCCGTAAAGCCAGTTAAAAAATCACATGACATTGTAAACTTGTCATATGTCACTTCTTTAAGCAGATGTCATTGTCATCCCTTTGATGTCTATGATGTAAGTTGTAATTTGCAATTTTTTATTAGTTGAGTTCAGAATTCAGATTCAGACAAATAGACAGTTTTATTCATTACATTACTAAGTACTAAACATCAAAAGGTAATAATACAGTTTTACAATTTTTTCAAATGGTTTACACCATATTGTTTAAGTGTTATCTGCAGTCAACCGTAATACAAATTCATCTGATATTTCATTGTTTCGATGGGAATAAATTATGTTTGTAACAATTAACAATGAAATCTCATACCTTTGTACAATTCTAGGTCTAATCAATTATTTACGTATAATAAAATATGCTTTTAGAGTTTGAAACTTATTAGTCGTTATTTTAATAGGTGTAAATAATAACGCGACGCTAAAAGAAAATGGGTAATAAATCATCATTATTGTTGCGGGAAGAAGAAATTGCACAAATACAAGAAGAAACAGGATGTAAGTAATCTATGTACAAATTTTATGTATTAAATATATGATTTAATTTATGGACTGATAGTAATACAACTTATAAGTAGCAATTGCATATTATTCCATATAATTAAGACATTGATATGAAATTTTGTGATTCATGCAATATGGTGATTGTTGCTTAGTGCCGTTTAGAAGTATTGTAAGAGAATCCACTACTTCAAATTTTATTGGTATCATGACATATGGAAACAAATAAGAGTTGGTCAGCAGCATCTTCCTGATAACAATTCAATAATAACAACAGTATTTGCCAACCCGCCTGTATGCATGGTAACTATTGAAAATATCCCCTCTCAACATTTAGGGAGGCCTATATTCAGCATAATATTTTTGATGGACTGGACTGAATAAATAAATGTTTGGGTTAAAGATTTTTTTTCTCTAAAAGACAATCGTCACTTACATCAGAACAATGTTCAAATATGGTTTACTGAAAACTAATATTTAATGGAGAAGATTTTTTTCAGAGGAAAAGAAAGGGGAGACAGAAATAATTGAGAAAGCAAATACAAGAGCTTAGAAGCAATACCTATGTGAATGGGTTGATGGAAAAATAAATAGTTTTTTACATATTTTAAATTGTTTTAAGTATATGACAATGCTAATCCGATACCGATATATCAACAGATATAATCAGCTGGCTGATATAATTATTATTATAAATATTTTGTAGTTTTCCCGTGCAATTAGGATATATAAATAAGATAAAATATATGTTGTACTATATAACATAAGTGAAATGATGATTCATTATATTATGAGTCTGTAACCATGCATGCTGTAAAATGCTCCATAAGTTAGGAATAAAAAAAGTTAAAATTAAACCCAATAAAATGGAAGCTCTCACCAGGGGAGTTCAAATTGCCGATGTGAGCAGTAGAATGAAGGAGCAATGCCTTTTGCATTTATGCCTTATTATTATTATTATGTAGTAGGAAAAAAGCTTACAGCTGATATGCTTATATCTGTGTTGGTATTATACTTTATTAGTTTAAGTAATATTACTGCAAATTAATTGTATTTTCACCGCCTGTCTTGTCTATTTTTAAACTATCTACAGAAGGAGTATCAATCACAACTTCAGGCAACTTACACACAACATTAGTGTAAGGATAGGATATCTATCTAGATGGATACTGCTGATGTTTAAAATATGTAACTTATTTTCACAATAATGATTAAGTATAGGATAGAATTTTGTAGGTCTCATTACACACCTCTAATGCAACAGGATTTCAGCACATATTTAATATTTTTAGTCTTTGTATGGTTTTTGGCAAAGGCAAAATGAAATATTTGTTGTTTCTCTTTGTGCACATCCACACATTAAAAATTCATGAGCTTAACGGGCTTCCAAATTTAAAAAGCCATACCTTTTAGGAGTTGAATATATGTCTTATAGAATTTGAGCAATGTATCTGGAGTCAGATGCTAAAACAATTGCTTTATTGCATACAGAACACTGTTTACCTTTTTGACAATGCTGTGCTGTAATCAGGTGCACTTAGCAGGGTGAGGCATATTATACTCTTTATTCATAATTTTTCTCCTCTAAGAGTTCCTTGCTTTCAAAAACTATGAATGTTATTTGTTCATCTGTTACATTTTTGGTTGTGTATTTATATGAATATTGTAGGAACCATAAATAAGCAGAGCATATTTTTCTCTTGATAAAGATTATGATGATAAGTAACTGATTAAGATTATTACCTTACTTTAAATACATATGCTTATCATTAAATAATCGTGCTATTTATTGATTAAAATTTCATTCAATACACACCATTACAGTCTATCAAAAGTCAACCACAGTTTTTTTATACATTCAATGCATATGTTTGCAAATAATAAATTCAATAAAGCTTTTTTTACTACACTAAAGTATGTAACAAACAAACTTACAGTCCACCAAAATATCAAAATAGTCATACTACCTAGTCACACTAATCCACAAATATACGATTATGTTGTGCTTTCCAACTCATCTTAATTAAACTGAAGCACCAAGTGTGGCCTTGATTGGCTATGGCCATATAACATGCAGAAAATTGATAGAAGCATGTGGCTCAGGCCTGTGTTTGAACTGTGGCAATTTTTGGTTGAGACCTACGTTCAGCAAAATTACTTAGCAGTGTGCTGGAACAATAAGAACAATAATGATACTTAATGGACTCATTAAGTATCATCAAAGTTAAGTATTATCTTCGTTAGTAAGTGGGAAATAAACTATTAAATAAAAAGACGGTAGATGAAATAATCGTAATTAATTTCAGTTTAATATTGTAAGCAAAAAATTAGAAATCCATAAGCACTTGTTTTGTAGCTTAATATAAAACTTACGACCTAACCATCAGCTGATTTAAGAAAGAGCTTGAACAAGCGGTATTTCTATTTTTGTTTTTATAGGTAGCCATCAGCCTTTTATACGTGGTAGAGCCATGCTGCAACTACATATATTAATAGTATAGTTGTAGCACGAATGGGTCGGCTCGACCAGGGAAGGACCACACTCTCACAGAATACCAACGTAAAATAGCAGCTTAATGCTGCTGTGTTTCGTATGGTGAGTGTAGAGAACCGGAGACCCTTCTTACTGGAAAAGAGGCATTCTATCTTAGTCCTCACGGCTGACAATGCATCTGCATTTCAATTCGCAAACGAAGATAGATGTAGATGTCTATGGACCAAAGCAACCACTTACCATCAGGATTGTGTGCTCGTTTGTCACCCTTATCCTATAAAAAAAAAGCCAAAGGTACAGTCGAACTTTACCATTAATATTACAGCATATAACTTCACTGGATATATTTCATAGTTACGCTACGCTACTACGCTAGGCAAGTGGTTTGGCAACCACAGTTTTTATTTTTAGCTGTTATTAAGGCGTGTTGCCTCTTACGACACCCACGGGACGATATGGACTTTACTGACAAGTAAAAGAGAAAAGTGAGAATTTCAAAAATCATCCCGGTTTGTTTCCAGCTGTTGCGTCTTACGGCACTCCAGGACGATATAGGGTAGTGGATATCTTTATACCGCCGCTATACGCCTCAAAATCATTATATAATATAATTTGTATACGGTATAAAATCACTATAGGATATCATTATTGGTCATAAAACAAAATTTAGTGCCAATCTAATATTCTTTACTTTCGACCTCTACCCTCTGCTCTCTTGACTGGATGGGAAGCTAGCCGTCAACCGTGACCGTTTACATTGTTCTGCCGACTTCCAAAAAGGAGACTACTCAATTCGACTGTATGTTTTTTTTATGTGTACCTCATAACTTTTTACTGGGTGAACTGATTTCGATGATTCTTTTTTTATTTGAAAGCTGGTACTTCTCGTATGGTCCCATATGAATTTGATCAAGGTCAGACCAATAGTTTTTGAGTTATTCTTAATAACTTATATTGAAGTCGGCAGTACAAAATTTTAAATTATATCTTATCCCGTTAAAGTTTTTGGGATGCAAGTAGATTAGTGTCTGTCTTCTAGAACTCTTACAGCACAATTATTTGGCCCTCGCAGATTACATACAATAGCATTCAGAAACAATAGCTGTGACTAAATTCTGTTGAGTAACAATTATCATATCATATCCACACATTACCTACCATATAAAAAAATATAATTGTGTTTTACGCAACATTATAGAGCATTTTTATTTATTTTTAGTTACGCCAAATCAAATAGAACGCCTGTACTCCCGGTTCACATCACTGGACAAGAATGACTGCGGCACTCTCTCCCGCGAGGATTTCCTACGTATACCGGAGTTGGCCATCAATCCGCTGAGCGAGAGGATCGTGCACTCATTCTTCGCGGAGAGCCATGACGATCGCGTAAACTTCCTTCAGTTTATGAGGGTACTGGCGCACTTCCGACCCATCAGGAAGAAGCAGGAAAACAAATTGAACAGCCGGGAAGAGAAATTAAGATGTAAGTTATATAACATAGGACGATTCAATAGGTTGAAAACTTTACTTCTTCTTTACTAACCCACCCACCCGTATAAACCCACTGCTGGTCATATCTGGCGTAAACAAAAATGATAAAATCGCCATCTATCGGAAGCTATGAAGTTAATCATCTACAGTCTACACTCTCGGGACAGAAGAGGACATAGATTTTCTTACGCTACCACCACAGCACACCATATATTATTATTATGGTTGTAGCACGAATGGGTCGGCTCGACTGGGGTAGGACCACGCTCTCACAGAATACCACTTAATGCTACTGTGTTTCGTATGGTGGGTGTAGAGAACCGAAAACCTACTTCACTGGAAACAAGGCATTCCACTTTAGTCCTCAGGGGTGAAAACTCATCTGCATTTTGATTCTTAATTGAGCATAAATGTAGATGTCAATGGGCTTTAACATCCACTTATCATCCGGTGGACTATGTGCTCGATTATCACCCTTGTTCTATAAAAAATATAATAAAATACATTGCACAAACAGATCATTATTCTCCAGTGCTATTCTTAAAATCATCGATTAGGTAGTAAAACTCGTAAAGGGCTCAGTAATAAATTTCTACAGAGCGTGATCCTGACACCACTATAAGGCTGTAATCAAGAACCTTTCTTCTCCGGGTGGTAGCTCGAGCTATATGGCTGGTAGGCACATTGCCCCTTTAGGTTTACAGATCCATTGAGCTATGTCATTTACTCTTAACCTACTGTGGAATGTCGTCTGTCACTTATTCTATAAAAACAACATTTAATCAGGGTCATCAGGTATGAAAGGGTAATATTATAAATTTTAAAGATAAGAATGTATATGAATTTTAATGTAGACCTTTTTTATACTTATATATATTGCTCTCTCTTTGTTTTTCTCGAATCTTTGAGCTTTTACACTAACACATTCACAATTCAGGGAAAATATAGTAAAAGAAAATAACATCTAGTGTTTTAGATGAAATTGGTATAGAACAAAAGAAAAGCGGTACGTACAGAATGTCATTAATATTTTTATTTTTTAATAGTTGCATTCTCGATGTATGACTTGGATAGTGACGGAAAGATCTCCAGAGATGAGCTGCTGGCCATTCTTCACATGATGGTTGGAGTCAACATCAGGTGAGTTGTAATTTGTGACAGCTTAGAGAAAGGACCACACTTTCACAGAATACCAGTGTGAAATAGCAGCTTAATGCAGCTGTTTCGTATGGTGAGTGTAGAGAAGCAAAGACCCTTTTTAATCCTAGTACGTGGTAACTAGATATTCCATCTAAGGGGTGACAACGCATCTGTATTTTAATTTTTAATCGATGATAGATGCAGTAATGTTTATTTGCAAGAATAGTCCTGTCTGTGATAATGGCCCGGTCCCAGTAAAGCCTGGCGTGGTCATTTTCAAGCACGGCTTCCTGCAAGTACTTATAATAAGGCAGTTTACAATCCACGAGATTTACAGTTTACAATCTACTAAGTTGTGTCTGTGCAAGTACTCAGAGTTGGAAAGCGCCAATCAGTCGGAATCGGACATGCCTAAGTGATTCACCGGGATGGCGACAAGCTCGACAGATGACGGTGCCATCCCTTAGGATTTAACATATATCCGATAGTTGTTGGTCTTGTCTATGGGCTTTAGCATCCACTTATCACCAGGTGGACACTATGTGCTCGATTATCACTCCTGTTCTATTAATATATTACGATAAAATATATTGCATAAACAAATCGTTATTCTCCACTGTTATTTTTAAAATTACCAATTACGTAGAAAAACTCCTAAAGGCATCCATAATAAATTTTCACAAAGCATGATCCTGATCCTCACTCGCCACTATGAGACTGTAATCAAGATACTATCTTCTGCGTTAGATGTTAGTTCTTCAAGCTATATGGCATCTAGGCAAATTGTCTCTTTCAGTTTACTGATCCAACGAACCATGTCATTTAGTACTCTTGATCTACTGCGAAATGCGAATCCTTGTTATAGATTTTATCACCCATAGAAACTGAGCGACTTCGAGCTTCTTTTTACAGACAACGAAGTTTCGTAACACATCATGTGCAACACACATTAGTTTAAAATATTAAGTTAAATGTAGTCTTTTTAAAAGAATTGAAGCATTATAAAAAATAAGAATAACAGGCAGTAAAAACGTGTTATAAATTCCAGCGAGGAGCAACTCACAAGCATCGCAGAACGCACAATACTGGAAGCGGACACGAACAACGATCAAATGATTTCGTTCGAAGAGTTCTGCCGCGCTCTGGAAAGAACAGACGTAGAACAGAAGATGTCCATCCGCTTCCTCAATTGACCTCCGCATTCCTGAACCGCGTGCCTCAAGTACATCCTCACCGTAGTGCTTGTGATCATCCTATATGGGCTCCTAACTAAGAGAATGGATTAAAGGACTTCCCAAAAAAAAAACATTTCTATGGGTGGTTCATTTAGTTGGTGTTTTATGTAACTTAAAGGCTAGATTCAGGATTATAATCAATAATTATTGTAATATTGCTAAGAGCTGCTAAAGGGTATTAAGTTTATTATTGTAAATAATTTTGAAATTTATTTTTATTCAATATGTTACCTGTGTGCATTTAAAATGCATGTTCTAAAACATGGCAGCACATGTGTCATGCTTTTAAGTTGTGACCAAAATTAGAGGGGTTTCTTCTACAGGTGTATAGAATATAATTATATAATGTGATATATTGTTTTTATTAATGCCTTTGTAGATAATCAATGAATTAAAATAAATATAGTTATTTATTTACAAATTGTTTGATTTGAATGTTATAAAAGGAAAATAAAAGGAAATACGAACAAATGAAGGTAGAACTTTAATCTCTCACCCGTTCTAGCAGTATAAAGTATCGCGCAGGCGACTAAGAGGGATCCGTCAGTAATTCTACAAGTCTTACTGTCGTTACTATTAGAAGTGAAATATTTTCTTACAATAGCCTATAAGACGAAATCATTTCTCTTTAGGATAACCGCTCGCCTTTATCAGAGCACGTGAGCAAGTGTTGGAAAAAAATCTCCATTAAAATACCGTCTAAAGGCCGATTTACCACGTGTTTTTTTTTTAATAGTATAGGGTGACAAACGAGCACACGGTCCACCTGTTAAGCGGTTGCTGTGACCCATAGATATCTACATCTATCCTCGATAAAGAATCAAAATACAGATGCGGCGTCACCTGTGAGGACTAAGATGGAATGCCTCGTTTCCAGTAAAATGGGTCTCCGATTCTTCAAACTCACCATCCGAAACAACAGTGTCAAGCTGCCATTTTAGGCTGGTATTCTGTGAGAGCGTGGTCCTTCCCTGGTCGAGCCGACCCATTCGTACTACAACTATACTGCTAATATAACTGCAGTATGGCTCTACCACGTATAAAAAATTTTTCGGCAATCAAGATAACACTGTACGGAAACCGAATAAAGAAAAACATTTTGAGATTATGTGAAGTCCGTCAACTCACTTATCACATATCTTCCTTCCACTGAAGACCTTTCAGAAATGAGATCTGTATCCAGGTGTGGAATACATATCTTGAGGAATGTACATACTAGGTGGTAGGCCTCCATTTCTGCCTAGGAGCCCTCCTATCTGTTTCTATGCTTGCACGGCTGTGTTCTAATATCAGGCATTCCACCTTAGTCTTATTCTTCGTTTAAACTTAACTCAAGGTGTATAAGTACTACAGTATCTTACATATCAAAGTTACGATCCCTTCAGTTTAATAAAAAAATGGAGCACACATTACCATTGCAAGGCAGACGTGGCGATGAGAGCGAAGTGTTCTTGCAAACGTGATGAACATGAGCAAATCTTTCGAGCTGCGCATGCAATAAATTAAAACATCAATCGAGTGACCGACAATCATGTCATGATATTATTTTAAGGGAAAACAAAATGGCTACGATCACGACATAACAATTAAGAATATTTTTTAATTTATACGTGGTAGAGCCATGCTGCAGTAACCGATTCGTTGCGGCACCAATTTTCGACAACTTTTAGCTGTGGCGGCGAACAAATATTTCATGACACGCCGGGCGTGTCAAGCGTCACTACTATTTTTTTGTTATAAAAAAATCATTAATATAAGTAGGTACAGCTAAGTCACCGTGGAAACCTTGATTTTTATTAAATTAAATTTACACCTAATAATATTTCTAAATATCAAACAATGAAGAACCTTAATTTGAAAAAAAAAATAAGGTATATCATTCATTGCTATTTACAAATGTTAAATATTATTTAATGTTATACAAATGTAAAAGTAAAGTCTATCTGAAAACGTCTAATTAGTAAGAATAGCAAAACAAGTGTTTTCAAAAGGAAAAAAACGGCGGCGCTATACGGCGGTGGATTGACTAAAGACTTATTTATTAGCGAACTTTTTTTATGCATAAACGGTTTCGAACTGTTTCAAGCAAAAATAAACCTTATACCATATCACAAGAGCACTTCGTAGGTCTATTCGGCCATATGATAGTAATAAGAGGGCAGTTCAACCATTTTAAGCAAAATTAAACAATAAGACAAACTCATTGTTTTTTTTAACAGGAGACTTGTTTTCTAGAAATTTATTTATCACTTGAGTTTGTGAGCGATCGCAATGAGCGCTATTATTTGTTACTTATTAGACAATTTTTCCATAACATGATTTAAAAACCCACAAAGTAAAAATAGTACCATGTACACGTTAAAAAAAGGTTGTCAACCCCTAAAAACTCAAATTTTCAAAATATCCAGAAACGAAGCTGCATGCATGAACTACTCGCAAAATAATGAATATTTTGTTCTGGATAAATTTTCCAAAAAAGCAATTTGAGCGAGTTATAACGATTAAAAAAAAAGACACGACTCGCGTGTCATACGCCATACACAAAAGTAAATTGACTAAAGACTTATTTATTAGCGAACTTTTTTTATGCATAAACGGTTTCGAACTGTTTCAAGCAAAAATAAACCTTATACCATATCACAAGAGCACTTCGTAGGTCTATTCGGCCATATGATAGTAATAAGAGGGCAGTTCAACCATTTTAAGCAAAATTAAACAATAAGACAAACTCATTGTTTTTTTTTAACAGGAGACTTGTTTTCTAGAAATTTATTTATCACTTGAGTTTGTGAGCGATCGCAATGAGCGCTATTATTTGTTACTTATTAGACAGTTTTTCCATAACATGATTTAAAAACCCACAAAGTAAAAATAGTACCATGTACACGTTAAAAAAAGGTTGTCAACCCCTAAAAACTCAAATTTTCAAAATATCCAGAAACGAAGCTGCATGCATGAACTACTCGCAAAATAATGAATATTTTGTTCTGGATAAATTTTCCAAAAAAGCAATTTGAGCGAGTTATAACGATTAAAAAAAAAGACACGACTCGCGTGTCATACGCCATACACAAAAGTAATCGATGGCACGCCTGGCGTGTCACCCGCACTGAACCGGTTAACGCTGCTGTGTTTTGTATGGTGAGTGTAGAGAACCGGAGACCCATTTTACTGGAAAAGAGGCATTCCATCTTAGTCCTCACGGGTGACGACGCATCTGCATTTTGATTTTATATTAAGGATAAATGTAGATGTCTATGGGTCACAGCAACCACTTACCTTCAGGTGGACTATGTGCTCGTTTGTCACCCTATCCTATAAAAAAAAATTACAAGGGAAAAATAAATTGAAACGGCCATTTACCATAAACATTTTATTGCATTACATAATTTACAGTTTATAAAATACAATAATGGATGAAGTTGGACATTTCCCTATACTATCTACAGAACTACGCCTCAACCTGTTTTAATACGAAATAGTATTATTTGAAAAGCTTATTAAAGTATTAATACTCGATTCTGGAAGTACCTTAAGGAACTTATGACTAACATAATTGATATTCATTACAAGAATCGCCAGCCATCTTCAAGAAAGAATACATCTATATGCTCTCGCTTTTAATTCGACTAAGAAAAATTAAGGGTCTTAGATTTGCTACGTTTGACTAAATATTTAAAATAATATGGAATCAATTCATTTTCTTTCATTCATTACATCCCATCTAAAGTCCGCTGCTGAACATAGGTCCATTTCATATACAAATAATCAATATTATATATTAATTTCTACTAACAAAAGTATCAATACACGAATAACAATAACAAACAGAAAGGAGGAAAGATGCTATGTATAAGAAAGTATGACGTAAAATCTCTCACTCTTGGTTCCCTATGTTCGACTTCACAGCTAATGAGTTGAACGAAGTATGATTTTTTTTTATATTCTACTAAGCCATCGCATAACTACAATCCCACCTGATGGTAAGTGGTGATGTAGCCTAAGATGGTGAAGCGCACTGACTTAACAAATTATTTTCAAAATGATATTAAATGTTGTCAAATTAATGAATCAAATTAAAAATCAAGGTATAAGCGGAACAAGTAAAAAATGTCTGCTCGGTGGTGTAGTTGCTAAGCATTCAGTTGCGGCGCTGGAGGTCTTCGATTTGTATCTCGCCCGGAACGAATAATTGATTAGCCTACAAACGATTGTTTCTGGTGTGGATGATTGCCCATTTGCCATTTATAGACAAAAATATGTTATTTTTCATGTGTAAAATGTCTGTACGATTTAAATATTAACAATAACTTTTTTTTAAAATCGTTTTCATGTTTCCCTAATGAATTTAGGCAGTATATATAGTCTATGATTCAGACAATATTTTAACGATGCTTTAAATGATAGCTTAAATACCTTTTAATAATATTCCTTATGAATCAAGCTCAAAGTAGTTAAGAACTCTGAAAGAAGAGACCATACTTAAAATTATACAGGTTGTTAAGAGTAATTCTAATCAGCTATACCCAAGTCGATAAATGGTAAAAAAATACAAAACTTTATGAATTGAAAACGAGAATAGGAAGAAGAGCTACAAATAATGTAAAGAATAATAAACCTAGCTTCTATTTACTTAACCTTGGTGGATATATGTGAATGTAAAGGACATGCGTCAGTTCTGTGATAGTTGCGGAAATAGTCGTAACGTTGCTACGCTCATGCCGTGGACGACACGGCCAACTTCTTCAAGTGTTCCATGAATACTTGCAGTGACACGTCATCCGTCAGCACGGGGGAGCCACCGTCCTAAACAATGGAAATTAAAATGCTGTTAATACTTGTTCTTTAAATATTTGAAAGAGTTTAGGAAGTGCTTGCATTTCTTATTATTATAAACAATTTGTAACTATTATAAATATAAACTCGGAGAAATTCAGCACAGAATATAAGTCATATCACAATGAAACATAATAAAGAAAACAATACAAAAATCCTATCTTTGGGATCATTTGAGATATTGCACTGTATTAATAAGTTGATTGCTCCATTGATTATTGTTTACATCATATGTAAAATTAACCTCGATATATTCATGTAAAGAAATTAAAAACTATTTGGAATTAAAAAAAATACTCAAATACTATAGATCAATTTAAATAAATATATATATTATAATGTAATGAATGATACATACTTAAGTTTAGTATATGATAAAAGTACACTACTTTATATTCATAATAATTTAACACGCCATTTTGGTAAATTTTGTACTGACATAATAAAACCCAGTACAGTATACAGTATTTTATTGTATAAAATGTTCAAAATATGTTTTGAATACTTTTGTCAAGTAAACTTCATTAAAAAAAATGGCAGATATTGAAATTTTAATACATTATATCCTAGTATGTTTGAAATACTTATAAATAATTTTTTACGCATATAAAAGTTATTTCATTAAATTAAATCATTTGTTTCATACTAAAGTTTACTGAAGAAAATTCTTAAGAGCAGAATTTGCAATCATGAGATAAAAGTTATCATAAAAAGAAACACTTGTATAAATAAAATAGTTCAGTTGTTTTACTTTTATATTCACCAAGGTTATAATATAATTTATTTGACGGATAACTTTTAACTGACGATTGAAATATCAAATCTAAATCTAAACTCATAAAAGCGTTAAAGAATAAGAAAATTTATAATAAAGCGACGCACACACTTAAAAGCTAAAAATAAGCGAAGTTAATTTATTAGTGCTCAGCAAAAGAAACGGCAAATAATTTACACACGATATTTTGCGTATCTGCTTTTCATCCTCCATCTTTACTTCTTGAGCCTAAGTGGATATTTAAATTTAGGCAAACAGTTATTATTTAAATATTTTTTGAGAAAAGAGTACATTAAAATCGATTTTATCTAACCTTATTCTTTAAAGAAGTATAAAACACTTCTAAAATTGAATGGGTACATAATAACAAATAGACAAAAGCAAACACGCAGATAAGCATATCGGAACGAAAATACACAGTGTTATTTTTCAATAAACCGCCCAATTTGCAGAGAAGGTTCAGAATAAGTAATACATACAGGCAAATGGTGAAGAAAAATTAAAAAAAAAAATCAATAATTCTGTCCTTTTTATCTCTTAAATTCAAAATGCGTGGTATTTTGACTGATTTTACTGCGCACGCACACATTCGTAAGGGTCGATCGGTAGGCAAAACGTTGCTGCCCATAAATCACATTCAATTTGGGATAATTTCAAATACAAGTAAAAAGCATTATTTACTCGTATTTTCAAAAACTGCAATAACGGTATAACATTAATTATTAATTTTTTGAACTTAAGTTTAAAATTTGGCTACTCATTGAAAAATAACCCTAATATTTGCTGGGAATCAGAAATAGCATTAATTAACCGGCCAACTCATTTTTTATACCGACATTTAGTAAATAGTTAAATTGTTAGTGACCCAACACCGATAAACAAGTGAATGAAATAAAAAAAAAAACATCTCTACCGCAGATGGTATCGGCATCGCCTGGGTTTCGACGCAACGACGATGAAACAAAAAAAAAAAACACAACGTCAAAATCAAACCATGCTTGGATGGCACTCACAGTACAAAACATGCTAGTGATCTCAATAGTATAGAAAACTGCAACATTTCATGAAACATACAAGAATGGTGTTTTAAATTATCATTACTTTAACATTTTTCTAACATGATAGTTATAGTTATAAGCGAACAAACAGTCTATCTAAATAAGTGACTACTGCGGCCTATCTACAAGCAATTTCAAACAAAGAAGACTAAAGGTGCGCTGTCGTCACTGAAGACTGAGTGAAGCCACACGGGCATTGCCGTTGCCGGTGCGTTGCATCGTCGCTAGGATTTCGACACATTGAGTTGACACACTACTAAGACGTTGCAACGCCGAGAGGCCATTGATCAACGATTGTGCACGCAACTAACTTTGGGTGCGGCATTGTGCCGCATCATCCCTCTCCGCTTCATCTCTCTGGTCCTCTTTCTCCATTGCGCGTACGATACAATGCGAGCGCAATGGACCGTGTAGCATGTCACTGTGATTTATATTTAGAACGATGCAAAGTTACCACTGAAGCGTCGCATCGCACCGCCAACGAATCGTGTGTTCACGCTATAATATGGTATGCCAACTCTGATACGACCGGAACACAACAGTGGTGAAGTAACTAATCGCAGTCGGTATCCACACACTGACGTAAAGTCGAAAAAGGAGACCTAATATCACCTATAATTTATCTTAAATAACTAACCACTTATAACAGAACAAGATTAAAATTTAGCATGCATAAAATGTCATGGGACAAATTATAAAAATAATAATTATCGTAAAGTACCAAAATATTCAGAAACCTCTTCTATTAGCGTCACATGATATAATATATAAGATTACTATAAAATCAATATTTGATTAAATAATTTTATTGTGTAAATATTGTATATGATGTATAATGAAATGATAATGACACATTATGTAAGGCTAAATTTTTGGGCTGTCCTTTAAGTACTTTTTAAAATCGGACAAAATACAAAAAAGTTATTGTGATTTTTTAACTGAATAATATTTACTACTTCAATCGATAAAAGTCTCTTGAGTGTGGTTAAATGCGACTGTAGAAAAGGAATGGCGAGATAACCATCACTTTTTTGTGAGACGTGAAATACGCAGACGAGCAACAAGTAGCAACATCAAAGGTGCGAGAGGTCTTCCAACGATTATGTTCAAACTAGATACCATTTTTGTACCTATGTTGATATGACATTTATATACAAAATGTATGTACCTAAAAGTATGTTCTTCATCTAACTAACAGGTGTCAAATACAACAAAAACATCGAGTTATACAAAAATGACAATAATTATTCAATATAGATTGTAAGAAACTGTTCATGTAAGTATAATTAAAAATTAATATCTTATTATATTTATAAGCGTTGTTATTTATCTCAATTTTTTATTAGTTGAAGACTGACGACATCGACAAAGCCGTGCGTTTTTAAAACACATTCGGCAGAACATACAACATAACTCACCCCACCATACGCGTACATGTTGTTGTGTGTCTGCGACGGGTTGACTTTCGACAGCAAGAACCGTGCCTGTAAAAATACATATAAGAATATAAACATTGTATAAGCAACTAAAATATTCTTCTATAAATACTATCGGTTACTGAAGTTTGACCGTAAGACTCATGCCCACGAGACGGTTTTTCACCGGAGCTAAGGCCGGCGTCAAAACGGGTCTACGTCCGGTCGTCAGTATTGTATGGGACATTATGAAGCCAATCACACGACGCCGGCGCTAGAGCCGGCTCACCGCGCAACCGGGCACGGTGCTCGCCGCCATGAAACCGGGTCGTATACAAACAGTCTTGTGTGCAAGCTCGGACGGTTTCTACCTGGCGCCGGCGAAAAACCGGGCCGTGTTAAAACCGTTTCGTGGGCTGCCCTTATTCATTAAATTTTAACTTTGTATATTAAAAAAAAAACAATCTGTATTTCACATTCTTTTGTACGTTTAAACACAAATCTCATTTACAAAATATAAAATAAACTATTTTTGCCTTTACATACACACATATTAGTTGGCAACATTTTAAAATTCTGTGTGTTGACAATGGCACTATAAACAATGCCAATGTTTTATTTTATTTAGTGTTAGCTGTTAGTTACAGCCTTAAATACGTCCTACTGCTGGGCACAGGCCTCCAATCATTTCTGAGAGGGTTATAGGGCAAAGAAATGTCTTTTTGTTATATCTCAGACATGCAGGTTTCCTCACGATGTTTCCTTCACCGCCGAGCACGTGGTAAATCAGCGCTTAAAATCGCAATTAACAATTCCAAGTGTGAAATTTACAGCGAGCGCTAACCATCTGAGCTACCACGGCTCTTTATTTAGCGTATTTTGTAAAAAAATATTATATATAAATTTTAGCTTAACCACTCAAGCCGCAACATCAACCACCACAAACTTATCAAGGCCATAGTTACCAACTTACCGAAGAGTATAGTAGGTCAGGCCAAAGACAATATTTTTTTTACTATGTTCTTATCCAAAAATAAAAAAAATATCAACAATTAAGATATCGCATTATTTGTATGAAGGTCAAGTGAGCGCTAGAGAAACGACGATTGCAAGACGTTGTCCATAAATAAAATGTGTAGTTGTGTTGTATGAATATCCATACCATCCCGCGGGTCTTGTAAGAGACTTGGGGTTATTTTTAAATAACCGTGACCGTCGTTCCTCATGATGATTCATCATGATGTTCAACAATTACATTAATTATTATAACTTTTAGTAAAAAGTAAAACCCGACTTCAAATTGCTAAGAAAGAACCTACCCTTAGGGATGAAATTTTTTCTCATAATTTATACGGGACTACCCTTGAAATATAACCCATTTAATAAAGAAAAGAATGATCAATATTGGTTCACAATCTGCGAAGACATCGCGTAACATACATACAAAAAATGTACACTCGAATTGAGAACAAACCATAAATCGCACACTTTAGCAATGTTTAACAAACCATTCAAAACGGTACATTCGAAATCCGAAATCACTAGGGACTACAGAGAAGTATGTAGGTAGGTACTGCTTCGACTTGAATACATAGTGAACGTATCAGGCAAAACGATGTAAAAATATTTATGTTTATAAAACGATAACGGCGCGCAGTATGTTGCGCCGAGCTGTGTTGACTGTCGTCGTCCTCTCATGTACGTTACGTGAATCGATTTACGCTCACAGTGAGAAAACACAGCGCTTAGCGATAAAAGGTTTCAATAGAAATAATATTGTATATACTACTCGTTAAACAAGACATTTTTGTGTTTGTAACTGTTACTAAATTAAAATTTATGTTTTACGTGTATTTTACGTCTAACGATAAATCAACATTATCTAATAATATTAAAAAACATAAAACATTTAATGTCAGATAATCGCTAATAGATGGCGCTGGTTTAGTGTAATAATAAATTCAGACACGCAACGTCTATTTAACTAAAATTTTAATTAATGACGACTGAAAATAAGTTAAAAAATAAATCTGTGTGTAAAGTGTATGAGGAAGTTGATAATGTTACAGATTTGATATGCGTGTTGTTACTGAGCGGCGTGCAAAAGAACGACTTGGACGTAAATACACTGAGGAAGTTGGAACAGCGTAATGTAAACATACACGATGTGAACAATGAGTGAGTATGAAAGAGGATTTATTGAAAATAACTGAAAGTTATTCACTTAAATCAAATTCTGTATTTTTTTATTATATACTAATAAGGTATATCAAAAAAAATACTTACGCATGCTATTATATAAACATTCAGAACTCTAAGCATATTAAGTCAGCTTTTACTAATACACAATAGTAATATTATTTACAATGTAATAAGTGAATCCTTGTAATTATATTTTAATACATATGAGAATATGTGTAATGTTAAAAAATTATACAGTCACTATGATGAAATAAGTTTTAATCTGTTTTAGAGAATTAGGCAGCGAATGTTTACAAAATGATGGTAAAACACGAATGCAAGCAGAGGAAGTAATGAATGCTTTACTAAAAAATACACCTGTCCAAGTAAAAACGAAAGAATTAAAATGTAAGTATTTTATCTAGTTTGTTATTAATATGTAAAACTATTCAGACATAATTAATTTAAAAACTTTCCAGATAATACTATAGTAAACAAAGAATATGAAAATTATAACCAAAAATCTATTGGAAATACGAGCATCATGATGCGAGACAGAAGAACTGCAACCACTGGGCAGTTTTTTGAAGAACCTACAAAAATGCTCATTAACAGTTATCATACAAATGAAATAACTACAGAAAGCGAACCAAAATTAGAAAAAGTAATAAATTTTTGGCAAACATTGGTCAAAAGAAACAGAAAGATGACGACAGATAGTTCAATAATCAAAAAGGAAAATGATATCAGCTACTACAAATTTATGAAAATAGAGAATACTACACCATCAGAAAGTAAAATAGAGAAACCACAAAACTTAAAAGTTATGACTGACAATGATTTAGAAAACGCAAATATAGTTGAAGGTGGATATTTAAACAACATGCTATCCGAATATATTACTCAACAAAAAACGTCCATACAAACAAGTACAACTACGAAAAGAAGTGATGATATTGGTATCGAAAATGAAAGTGTAAACTTAGTAACAGATGACGACAGTGACATATTTAAATACCTTTTGAATGCACCAGATAAAGAAAGTTCAGAAACACATAATATAAATGGCCATTTAAGTAAATATTCGTACGAATTCAATTTCTCAAAACGAAAATATCCGAATAAAAAATCAGAGCACGGTAAAAATCGTCGTCAATCTTTTGAGGATGATGAAGACCTAAATAACATTTTCGTGCGTGATTTTGATTTTATGAAATCAAACAAAGAATTAGAAAATGACAAACAGACAACAATCCAACATTTACTTCTAAAAAATGAAAGAACTGACAACACTAGAGGTGAAAGATCAAAAAATATCTATAATTTATTCAACTATTCTACTACTACTTTACCATCAGAGATAATCAAGAAAATTGCGGAAGATGTTAAAGCTCTAGTGTTGAAGGACTTAAATAAAGATATGGGACTGGCTAATTCAACAGTTTTATATGTCACTACAACAAAAGGTAAAAACAATACTATATAATTTTCTACAAATACAAATTATATCAATCGATTAATAAATATATTTGTATTTTTTGAAATTCAGGACCAACATCGACAACACCCCGCAATCAAGAAGAAATCAGGAAGAAAAAGTTCGAGACATCATACGTCATTGATAAAATTATGGAAATATTACAAAAATACAAAACAGAAAAAGAAAGCGACGTTATGCACACAACTGAACAAAATAATGAAAAAAAAGTATTTTACACTCAAAAAATTGTATACCCTCCTCTGTTACCTCCTATTGATAATTATGCTATGAAGCCAGCAACTAATTTACCTCAATTAAATTATTCACTCAAATCTGCACAGCATACAAAGAAAGTTGCGAGGCTAAAATTAGATAATCCAAAACAAAAACCTTTTAATCCGATAAGAAGTCTACCACCACATGTCAATTCTGTTAATAGTGCAAACATTTTTAAAACTATGCCACTAACGATTCAAACGAATTTGAACGAAATACCTCCATTGAGTGTTTCAGTCTCAAATCCCTTAGCATTGGTAAGTCATAATATAATTATCAGTACAAGACGTCCTTTACATAATAAATTACGATATGTTCCAACCGGAAATAATAAATTAGTAAACAATAAAAAATCAGTAATAGGTGCAGCTAAAAGAATTCGCGAAGAAAAATTACCAAAAGAAAGAATTCAGAATGATAAAGATTATGATGACAGTGATGTAAAAAATGTAATTAAATTTAAAATTATGGATAATGAAGGTTCCGAAAATTATGACTACGAAAACTTAAGGAGCAAATATTATAAATCGCACCGCGATAGTTTTAACCGTTTAGGTTTGCATAATCAAAACAACATACAACGGTTTCACGAAAAACTCGAAAAATACCAGCCTAAAGTTATTTACGAAGACGCGGATGAAGAAGATTGCTGCAAAGACGCAATATTTCAAAGGGAACAACGCCCTCTTACGGATATGAACAGGCGTGATGACACGTCCTTCAAGAAGCTACTGAGAACTCAGCAGAAAGTTACTGATATGCTAGAGCGAATGTTAGCTAAAACGAAACTGGAACAACCACTCAGTGTCGAAACAACATGACAGTCAAACTAAAGGTTTCCTACATAATATGTGCTTGTGTGAATATGGGATGTCTATGTGTGTGTGTACTTTTAATGTGTATGTGTGAATATATAAAAGAAATTACCTGTGAGCCGCCATGCTCTGTGTCGATGTAGCGAGGTACGGGGAAGCGGCTCTGCAGAATTTCCTGCGCATCGTCAATGGGCGCTCGAAGCAGCTGCGCGAAGCTTTCATACTCCGGCATGTCTTGGTAGCGTAGAGCCCGCCATTGCGCTATAGTCTGCATTTCAATTGAAATAATGACTTTCTACTAACCTAGCACACTTAAAGACATTTATACATCTTCCAGAAATAAAGTGTTGGTAAAACAACTAAAAATACCTATAAAGGCTAGCCTAGATCAATAATTTTTTTTTTGCTGTTAAACACACATTATCTGACCTTGCCTACCATAATTAAAATTACTAAGTGACACTTTCATTTTAATTTACTAAATAAAATGTTTTTATTACTATTTGTAGGTTGTTTTTCCTTGTAATCAATGTTATTATTTAAATATAAAAATTACATTTTTGTCTCTTAATTAAAAAAATCTACCGCTGGATTTCTCCGCGGTCGTGTCGGATTTTCACCTGTGCTTGTGTACCACACTTACACTATAATCCTGCCCTCCGCAGATATCTAGTCTGCGTTAATCTTTTTTTTATATAGAATAAGGGTGACAAACGAGTATACAGTCCACCTGATGGTAAGTGGTTGCTGCAGCCCATAGACATCTTACATCAATCCTCGATTACGAATCAATATGCAGATGAGTTATCACTCATCAGGACTAATATGGAATGTCTCGTTTCCAGTAAAAAGGGTTTCCGGCTCTCCGGTTCTCTACACAAACTATGCAAATCATAGCAGCATAAAGCTGCTATTTTACGTTGATCTTCTGTGAGAGCGTGGTCCTACTCCGGCCGAGCAGACCCATTCGTGCTACAATTATACTACTAATATAGCTGCAGTATGGCTCTACCACGTAAAAATGTACAGGACATTATTTAAGCTACTGCTGCCCATTTCCTGTTTCAGTTTTCCTTTGTCGTCTCTTACAACACCCACGGAAAGATATTGGGTAGTGCATTCCCTTACGCCGCCATTACCCAGCAATTATGGCGGGAATTATATAATATAACATGTATTTAAAAAAAACTCATACCTCTCCATGATATATGAGGATCTGGAAGAATGTGTCCATAAGAAGTATACGATCAGGCTGTATAGAGGATGTATCGAGCAGTACAGGCTCCGGTGGACCACCAAACGAGTATGAGTAAAGGATGGGCTGGATCATGATCAGCGACTGTGTCAGATCTTCACGCATCAACATATGTCTGGAAATTTGCAATAATTTAGTAACATAATATTTAAATATTAAACAAACTCACATTTGAGGAGATTCTAGGGTAGTGATTTGTAGAAACAAATAAATGCCACGGTTTTGAAATTATCGTAATCACCGGCCACTACCAACTCAATAGTACACTAGTCTGCTCTCATTTCTGTAAGGATTTTGGAGTAAGTAATTCCGCCGCGCTGCTTCACTACTAGTTGGCGAACTTTAAATGTCTTCAAAAAATTCAATTTCTAAATTTGGCAATTGACACCACCATTACAGTTAGTAGTTTAAACTTATATAATTTAAATTTGCCAGTAGTGTCTTACGCGATTTTGCAATTTAAGTTAAATTTAGTATTTGTAAATATATAAGATTATTATTTGACTAAAAAAAATATGACGTCATTACAATATTTTTCCTTATACTTAATATCCACAGAAATGTTTTTTTTTTTTTGATAGCTCAAGCGTCAAATGCCCAATTAAGCAGATATCCTCATTTTGGTTTGTTTAACCTGGGATTAGAGATTTTAAAACTGGAGTTTTAAATCACACTACACATTTAAATTAACTAGTTTATACGGATTACATCGTGTATTTTAGTATTGTATTTTATATTTTAACTTTTATTTTGCTATCGGACACCTCAGTCCCATGGTGACATATAAAATGAACCGTCTGAAATATAAAATATTAAAATATACGCGATAAAATCCGTAAAAACCAGTTTCTATTAATTCTGTACTAAATCTTTTTCTTTTTCTGTACTAAATCGAAAACCGTGCTCCATTACAAAATAATAAATATCTGTTTTGGGTTGAATTATTGTACATAGACAAACTATCAAGAAATATTTTTAACAAAAAATAATGATGTTAATTTTTGTACCTGTAGAATGTTGTTTCGTCTGGAGAGTTGTTGAAAACCTGCAGGAACTGTGAACGACGCAGATGATACATGAACTGCGGGTACAAGCTGAAGTTTTCTGATAACCGAAAACTGTTGGGATCATCCTTGCCGTATTCACCAAACTTCTGACACTAGAATTTATATAAATACATAAGTAAATATTTCTTGCAATTTGAAAGCCCACTCAAACAATAACAAAATTTCAAAAAGTAAGCCAATCTTTGTACACTGAAAAACAGTTACAGAATCACCAATATATTAAACAAGTCCACTCCTTTTTCAAAGTTGTTATTGTGTATTTCTACTTGTCAAGATCACGCTATCGATTCTCATTAAATCGGTATATTGTTTTTAAACCGCACCAATGTCGATTTTTTTAATTAATGTTTGATAGTTTTTGTAATTCTAAAATAATGACTATTACATCTGAATCTTTTACAAAGTTAGAAGGACAAACAGTAGATGTTTGCAGCACAAGTGTGTTGCGGTACCAATAACAAAATTAAAATTATTCCATAAAATACAAACCATCCTACAGAATCAGACATTGTCATATAAAAATGTTACGCAAAAAAAAATCATTGCTCCTTTTGCCGTGGTACTCACGAGTCGTATGAGCATGCGGTCGAGCCAGCGCAGCACGTCGGGCCCGTCCTCGAGCTCGGCGCGGTACACGACGAGGCGCGCCATCACCACGGCCGCCGCCTCCTGGTCGAACCCGGCCGCGATGTGGTGCAGATTCGTCACCGCGTCGCCCCAGCTGACACACACAACATTCAATTATATACTACTTTAAGCATGTTAGGGAGAATACGAACAAGTCACATATACGTGCATCCGTGCGGGACTGTTAATTCAGTTGTTCACCCGCGCAGCTGTCGAGTTAGAACAAGTTAGCTGCACAGATGTACTTCCATGACTTAGGAATATTTTATTTTTCAGACATGCAGATTTCAATTGCGATTATGTGAAATAGTTGTTGTATATTCGGTATAAAAGAACAATCTAGTAGATTAATTAAATTTCGGTTAATTCTTAAAGATTATTATTTTAAGATAGTATATGTGAATATCAAATACAATATAGTAGCGGATGCATTGTAAAGGATGTGCATAACATTGAGTGAAAGATGTGGGTGTGAAAGAATAAATTTTGGCTGCGACACCTAGAGAGGCAAAAATAAATGGAAAGAAATAAAAAGTTGTTACGTCGATTGCACACCACCATCAATCAATCGGTTCTCTCAAGAGAACTCATAAGCATTTAGGTGCCTTTTTAAGAACTTATAATACTAATGTGTGTTATTTGTGGTCACACTAGATACCATTCTGGTGTTTTAATTATAATATGTACACTTAGTTTGCATAGTTATGCAATAACTATGCAAACTAAGTGCACACCATTTTAACTTGTGTTCAGCAGACAATGTCATTTACTAAATAATTTAGAACATGATGTAGATTCACTCTACAATCCCGATAATTATTAATTTGATTAAAGATATAAGTTGCAAATAGTCTTATGCAAAAAATAATTCGATAGCTTCAAAGACAAAAGGAAAAAAATATGATAAGGCATTTAATTCTGTATTCTATGACAAAAGATATCTTAATTTAGGTTATAATGAATGTGCTCATAAACCAGACTATAATTTTGATGGATCTTTGGAAATATTGGAAGTTTCAGGTGTAATTGTTAATTGATAAATAGGAAAACTGATATAGTATAGGAAAGGGCAAAAAGGTTTTATAAGTTTAAAAAAAGATGATATGATAAGTGTTTTTTTTTCACCACTGATGGTGAAATAGTAGTAATGTGTAAACAATTAAAAGTTTTATTTTTTTTATAGGAAAGGATGACAAACGAGCACACATTCCACCTGATGGTAAGTGGTTGCTGTGGCCCATAGACATCTGCATCTATCTTCTTTAGCGAATTAAAATGCAGATGCGTTGTCAGCCGTGTGAACTAAGATGGAATGCCTCTTTTCCAGTAAAAGGGATCTCCGGTTCTCTACAATCACCATACGAAACACAGCAGTATTAAACTGCTATTTTACGTTGGTATTCTGTGAGAGCGTGGTCCTTCCCCGGTCGAGCCGACCCATTCGTGCTACAACTATACTATTAATATAGCTGCAGCATTGTGTCAATATTAAATAATATTTATATACCACATAATCTCGTGCACATCTCTTCTTTTGAATACATATTTATCAGCACTTCAAATTACAAGTAACAATTTCTTCGGGATCGAACCCAAGTTGCTTGCAGTGTAAAATTTCCGAGACCATACCATCAGAGCTGCTACTGTGTGCTCGTTTGTGACCCTTAATTATAAAAAAAACAAAGTAGTATTGTTATCGTGCGCGCATAGTAAGTAAGGGAAGCACTGACTTGCGCGCGACGGTGGTGACGCGCACGCGGCGCTGTCCGCTGGAGTGCTGGTACTGCGTGATGAGCTGCACGCAGCCGCGCCCGCCCGCCGCCACCGGCGCCGCGTGCTGGCTCGCCACCTGCGCCACACGCACGCGCCTCGCGTTACACTCTACTTTGTACGTGCTACAGCCACGCCTGCGGCTATATCTGGCCGCACCCCGAATGGCTCGACTCGACCGGGGTAGGACTACAGAATACCAGCGTGAAACAGCGGAATAATGCTGCAGTGTTTTGTCCGGCAAGTGTAGAGTACCAGAGACCCTTTTTACTGGTAACAAGGCATTCCTTCTTAGTCCTCAGGGATAACAAAGCGTCTACATTTAAATTCTGAATTGAGGATTAATGTACATGTTTATGCGCCACAGCACTCACTTACCATCAGGTGTATTGAGTGCTCGCAACCTTAATCTATATAATACATAACTAAAACAATTAGATAATATTAATAAAGATAAACAACTTCTGCTGTACAATCCAGCTATACATTTAACTGACTGTACGCACAGATTTTATATAGCCAATAATATACGCGTTTAGTTTGTGTAATAAACGCACCCGGAAGATAGAATTGTAAAGCAAACCTTGGTTGAAAAGTAAATCAATTTTCGTAACATATCGATTTTACACTTACATTTTGGAATAGCTGGTAAAATATTCTTTTTTTTTTGTTAATGATATTATAATCAATATAAATGGACTTTGTTAATAACTGTTTTATTGTTTGGCTACAAACATTTTACAATTACATTTAATACTATTGTAACAGTTTATTCCTTGTTATCCAACAAAATATTTAACCATTTATCCAATTTATGTTTGTTTTCTGATTTCATAGATATATTTTGTGGCTAATTTATTAGATAAATAGACCGACAGAGACCTATTGCGTTTAATGTGTAGTGGCAGTGTAAATGAATCCACTACCTCATATCGTCCTGTGGCGAAAAAAGGAACTTAAACAGGAGATGGGCAGCAGCATCTTCCTGATGATAACCCAAAATTATTAAAAAATCTGACAACCCACCTGTCAAGTGTGGCAAATATGACAAAAATATAATCAATATAGCATGTGTTTATGGTTATGTTCAACAGTGCACTTTGATAGCCTGTGATGAAGATGATGAGTTACGAAAAGAATAGGTGATAACTTAGATCTCAGAAATCCAGGTGTGATCAATATCTTCTTTACCAAAACAATAGAAACAGATGATTTCAAATTAAAATGACAGTCATAGCTATATCACATTAGGGAGGTTGAAGGACGAGTAACATTTATATATGATATTATTATAAAATATGAATCAATAACTTCTTTCAAATTAGGAAATGATATAATCAAAAATACTAATTATATGTATATATGGATTAAAAATATTACCTCAAAGAAAATAGCCATAGTCGTGCTGGGCGTGAAAGTGCACATCTTCCATTGGCAGGTGTTCCCCATACCCACCTCCTGATCTGACACGCATGGACTTTTAACATTTAGTGATACGCATGAACCAATTGCACCAGTTACTGAAACAAGCCATAGCATTATATTTAAAAATTAAACATCAAACAAGTAAATTATGCCGACTGATCAGCTGTGATAATCCTAGTTGGAATACTAGGCCATAATCATGAAAATATTGAATTGACATTGGTTTTTAAAACATCTGCAAACAACATTTGCAGTACCAATTATTATTGCTTTGCATCTTTGATGTACCGACCCATTTCCGGTCTGGATATTTTACGTCTCGCAAAGACGAGATGAAAAGTCTTGCGACCATATTTTTATAGGCAACCTGACAAAAACTTATTTCTAAATTAACATTTGTTATAAAAATTGTATTTCCATTTAAAAATACATATGGGCAAGATAATCAATAAAGAACAAGGACAGGAAAATAGTCGACAAAAATTATTGCGTCTAGAAATAACTTATATATAAAATGTATTGTATTTTAATTAAAGCCACGATTAAAACATACATTTTTGGGAATATCAAATGACTTAAATCATTTTACTCTATTCAAGTGTTTCCATTTACTATATTCATACTATTTTCGTATACACTTTGTAAGACTACCAACACAACACACAAACACAAAATCTTTTTATTATAGTAATAACTATACTATCAGTGATAATAAAAATAAAAGTGATATGTTTGAAAATGAATCTCTTAGAAAGAACTTCCTACAATAATACATATAAATCATAACAATTCCATTTAATGTTATGGCAACACCAGCTAAAACAAAATGTCACTGTTTGGCCTAAAGGTCTAGATACTAGGTCATAAACTCCAAAAAAAGTCACTGTTTTTTTACTAGCTTTACGGCTCTGGGTTCTAGCTCTTCTGAGAATGTCACTGTATGACATAAAGGCCCTGGAGCCATGCCAGAAATATACATTTATAGTATGCAAATATATAATTTTTCTTTTATTTATTCACAAAATAGTAATAATAAGAGAGATAGAGATTACGTTGAGAATGTATTAAGCTAACATCAAACAACCACGGAACGCATGACTTTTTCCAAGTGACATAAGACATAGCCTAAAAAGTTTCAAATCTAAATATCTTTTTTTTTTGACGACTTCTCAGAACAAAACTCTTTGACAAAGTTATTCAGGGACTGACGCTAAACATTTTAAGATATTTTTGATATATAGACGCTACCTTTCCTTCTCAACTAATTTTATGTATGAAAGTCTGCCATTGTTCTTTGGGTCTTGGACTGTAATACATGGTTTTTAGACAAACTTAATGCCTGTGGCATTCTCCACATCTCTACCTTAGGGTGATGTAGAAATAAAATGTAGTAAATGTGAGAAAATTGGTTGACATAATAGCACAGAAAGTAATATAAATGTATGTTATATATTATTTTATAATGTAAAATATGTTGAGTACTTACTTTTGAGTTCTCTACTGCATTTTACTTCTAAACTGCCATTAAATGCCATCTTGTAGTCTCCCTTTTGATCTTTAGCAAACACTCTTTGGAATGTTTGCTTGAATAGTGATGAATTAAAGGAATCACCCATCACCATGTGACCGCTGCAAGTTAAATAACTTATATTAAAAAAAAAACTACAATACACAAATCAATACATAGAAGAAATAAATAATTATGAAATTATATTTTATTTTATATGTATAAAACATATACAGTGTATCCGGTCATGGACTAGCGATATTCTAGGTACTTATATTACAAGTATTTTAATACACAAATTCACTACACACTGAGGTCTAATCCCCTTACCCTCAATGTGGCAGCCATTTTGTTTTTTTCTTGAGATGTTCTCTATGTGTACACAAAGAAAAATCATATCTCTCAAAGTTTTGGTCTTACTGAGATAAAAATAGGCTCATTTGGAGGGCAACAATATTGTCTATCGTTTATATTACGAAAAACTGGGTTCAAATACTCGTAACTTTAAAAAAATATTTAACTCCAAAGAAATATTAAAAAATTATGCAAATAGGCAAATTATTGTAAATTACTTCAAAAACAACCCCAATTACCCCTTTTTATTTTTTTACTAGATCGACAGATTTTGAGTTAAGCTACAATAAAACATTAAATTTACAGCTGTAAGCACAAAGGGCCTTTGTCGAAACCCTAAACAGGAAAACATTAAAACACATGAGTTACTTACTAGTTTTTATTTGTTTTATAAAATTGACCTACAATTAAAATATCTAAAGCAGTTGCTCAAAGTGGGAACCTCCAGCTTGTAGGCAAGCTAAAGATTTATGTGCCACCTGAGTTGATGAGCACTTAATCATTTGTAAATCAGATCTTATTTCTTCGGCCACTGACATTATTTTTTTGATGATTTCTTCCCTGATATTTGGAACTGTGGCCAACACCCTTTGCTTCATATGTCCCCACAAAATATAATCCAAGGTTGTCAAATCGAGTGAGTGAGGTGACCACGCTACTAGACCACCGCGACCGATCTGGTTGGAATGGTTTGTGGCGGTTATTTAAATAGTCTCTCACTGCTCAAAAAAAGTGCGCAGGTGCACCATCAAGCTGGCCTCACATAATTTGACGGTACGACAAAGGTAGCTCCATAAGGCTATCAGCAAACTGTGTCTCTAGGAACTCCAGAAATCTAATGCCATTTAATGTAGGAGGTAATTCCAACGGCTCTAACAAACGATCGTAGATTATGCCTGCCCATACATTCACTGAAAATCCGTGTTCAAATGAACTTGGGCGCACCGCTTGTGGGTTTAATGCGCACCAGAGATGATAATTTCTGTGGTTTGTTATGCCAGCTCTTGTAAATTTTGCTTCGTCAGTCCATAATATTTTTTGTAGAAAATGACGGTTCTGTCTCACGTTTCGAATGGTCCACGAACAAAATACAGATCTTGTTGCAAAATGTGTTCCGATAATGTCTGAAAATGAAAAGGGTGTAATCCCTGTCTTTTCAAAACTCTCCATACACTCCACTTAGACAGTTGTAGTTGCACTGCAATCCGACAAACGCTTAGTCTGGAATCACTGGTTATTAGCCTAAGCACTTCTTCTTCATCTTCGGGCGATACCAAACGAGCGCGTTCATTAACAGCCCTTTGAATGCCCCTATCCGCTAATCTCGAGTGCACGTCGACAAAAGTTTGGCGACTCGGCGTAGGCCTGTTAGAGTATCTTCGTCTATATTCTTGTACAGCTCGATTTGCACTTCCATTGCAAAAGCCATACATGAAGTGTGTGTCGGCAATATGTTGCGCTAAATATGGACGACTTTCCATATTTGTATCACACTCTTAAGGATAAACAGTAATACAGCACGGACAAGGCGAGGGATAACATACTTATTACTTTTTTTTATAGGAGAGGGGGCAAACGAGCATGCGCCTCATCTGATGGTAAGTGACTACTGCCGCCCATGAACAACTGCAACACCAGGCGAAAAAGGTGCATTGCAGGTGCGTTGCCGGCCTTTTAAAAAGGAGTAGGCTGTTTTCTTGAAGGTCCCTAAGTCGTATCGGTCCGGAAAAATCGCTGATGGTAATCGATTCCACAAGGAAGTTGTGCGAGGAAGAAAACATCTTCTAAATCGCACAGTGGTGGACCGCCAATCATCCAGATGTTGTGGATGATATCGGGAGTTGGACTAGATTTAGTCGCCTCCAATCCGAGACTTTGTTCAGCAAAGACTCGACTTCAGACACAAGTTTGTTCCGGTTTGTACGTTTTACCGAGAAATATTGGCGCGGTCGGTGTATAGAGCATCACCAGTGCTGTCATCCGCATAGCAATGAATGTTACCAGTTTGCAACATATCATTGATATGCAGAAGAAACAGCGTTGGTGATAGCACACAGCCTTGTGGAACACCAGCGTTAATAGGCTTGTAGTCGGAGCATGCACCGTCTACAACGACCTTGATGCTCCGATCTGCAAGGAAGCTGGTGATCCAATTACACAATTTCTCGGGAAGCCCATAAGCTTTGTGCCGAACCCGATCGAAGGCCTTCGCAATGTCCAAACTAACGGCCAACGCCTCCCCATTAGACTCTACTGCCTCCGCCCATTTATCTATGAGTCAGGTAGGCCAGGAGATCACCAGTTGGTCGAACCCAACGAAAACCGTATTGGCGGCCACTAATCAGCTGGTGATCCTCAAGGTACCGCATGAGCTGGCAGTTAATAATGGATTCCATTATTTTGGAGAATGGCTTACCTTTTTTAGGGATCGGGTGGACAAAAGCTGTCTTCCATGATTTCGGGACTACGCCTAGGGAGTAGGAGTACCGGAAAAGACGCGTTAGAACCGGTGCCAACTCCGGAGCACACGTCCTCAGCACAATTAGGTGGATTCCGTCAGACCCACTCGAATTGTGAATGTCCAGGAAGAGGAGTAATTAGCGAACCGAGCGCTGTGAGAACCGCACATCCGGCATGGAGCACTCACACCGGGGGATGGTCGGCGGTGTGTTCTCCCCGTCATCAAGAGTAGAGTTGGACGTAAAAAGGGAGCCTAAAAGGTCGGCTTTCTCTTTTACGGCGTGGGCCAGTGAGTCGTCCTCCCTGTGCAGAGATGGTAGTGATGGCTTACAGAAATTCCCTTGGACAGCCTTGGCGAGAGAACAGAATGCACGGGTTCCCGAAGGAAGGCGAACTAGTTTCTCGCCAATTCTGCCTATGTCTGACTTTGCCTTCGCAATAACTCTTTTGAAGGACCTGGAGGCGCAGTTATACTTCTTTTTAAGCATGCTGGTGTTTAAATCCCGAGTCGCCGAAGCCGCAGCCCAGGCTTGATAACACTCTTGCTTACTGCGTAATGCAGTCTTACAGGAGCGACCAAACCAAAGCTAAGATCTGCCTTCGATGGGTACCACAGATGATGGAATAAATAGTTCCATTCCCTGTAGCACCACATCAGTGACAGAGTCAGCAACAGCGCTGGGATCATCCGGCGAGAAGCAAACCCACCTCCATGGGTAGGAAGCAAAGAAAGACCGCATTCCGTCCCAATACGCCAACCAGTAATGCCAAACACGGCGGCAACCTGCAGAACGCAACCGCGAGGGGAGCGTGAGTGGGACCACACTCCGGATCAGACAATGGTCCAAAGAGCCGAGAGAGGCAGGAGTGCTCCAATTTGTACCCCGGGTAGGAGAGATACGAAGTATCAGCTGGAGAGGACACCTGCGTCTCGGTCAGAAAGAGCAAGGCCGGCTTCGCCGTCTCGAGATGGTAGTGGACTGCGTTTAGGTTCGAGTGAAGTCCCCTGATATTGCAGAAATGCACGGATAGCGTAACGTCACGAATACGCGGGGCAGCCTGAGCACCCACGCTCAGGAGTGGAATAACATGGTCGTGGATGCACAGCGAGGGATTCTCCAGGGGTGCTGGTACCCTCCTGGGGTAGTCTTTGATGTAATTCCGCTATCATGTTGATTGGGGGGGGGGGGGGGGTAACCCGGCCACCTGCAAAACTTAAACTAAACTATTTTAATAATAAACCATCAAACTGTGTCAAGTTAGAGGAATAATATGTTCCATCTCACTTACTCACACTAGCTACTAGAGCTTGCAGTATTTCCGGCCTTCTCTTGAATCGAGTGATGCATTCCATATGAATCACTGCAATCAATTCGAGTTCTAGATGTCCCTAAACAAAGGCCCTTTGTTTTACCCTATGTTCAAACAACAACAATTCTTAAAGGAATATACATACAGCTGTAAACTTAATGTTGTATTGTAGCTAAGCTCAAAATCTGTCGATCTAGCAAAAAATAACAAGAGTGATTGGGGTTGTTTTTGCAGTAATTTACAACAATTTGTCGATTAACATAATTTATTGGTATTTATTTGGACTTAAATATTTTTTTTTTAAGTTACAAGTGTGTTGATCCGTTTGTTTGTAATGTAAACGATAGACAATATTGTTGCCCTCCGAATGAGCCTATTTTTATCTCAGTAAGACTAAAACTTTGAGAGATATGATTTTTTTTGTACACACATAGAGAATATCTCCAGAAAAAAACAAAATGGCTGCCACATAGAGGGGAAGGGGATTAGACCTGTGTGTAGTGTATTTGTGTATTAAAATAGTTGTAATATAAGTACCTAGAATATTGCTAGTCCGTGACCGGACACGCTATATATATATTTACATTTGACCAAAGAAAGACTATATTACTATTTTACTTATAAAGTCTAAAAAAAAAGACTAACCCAGTTGAATTGCAGCACTGTTTCATTTCCATTAAGCCAGTTTGATCCAATGCACATGAGTATATGTCTATGGAATGGCCATTTGTAGCAGCCCTTAAGGAAAGGGCTTCATAATGTTTTATGGCCTTTTTCATATACTTTGCATTGTCTTTGTGAATGTCATGATGAGACCGGATAGGTTGCTTAAGCTCATCATTAACAACTTGGCCCGGGCCTTGAGAGCAAGGACCACCAAGGAACATCATGATTCTAGCTCCTGTGTTTGGATAAGTGACTTCTAACAATCCCACAGCTAGAGATAGTGCAACCCCACTACTCCGTAATGGACGTTTTCCTACACCAAGTGGCCAAGGATCACGTCCAAGTTCACTTAACAAATCTGTCAAGGCCATGTCACATTGTTTAACTGGCTGTAGGAAACGGTGTGCAGGAGGCTGTGGGGCAGGCATGCCAGGTCTTCCTTGAGGATTAGGTGCATTTACTCTCCCAATAGCCAACTGTTCTTGTATTTGTTTCGCAGTTAAATCTTTGGTACCTTTGAAGACATAACATTTTGAAATTCCTTCTGTGCCTGTAAAGAGAAATATAATTGTTTACATAACATAATTACATGGTGTAATATCATTTACAAAAGTCATACCACTAAAATCCTACATTAAACTGTGGTATGCTTGTGTGATGGTGGTGTAAGATAATCCATCACCTCAATGAGGGCCATCACAAATGAGGTGGCCTCATTCCGTCTGATGGGTATCCTAAGAGGTGACTGGGCAATGTCAGTAAAATCTTATAGTTTCCCATATCTTGTCACCGACAGGTGTAAAATATCAAGATTGGCGACAAACAACAACATCAAATATGGTAAATGTAACTGCTATACATGATGATTAAGGCCAAATAAACCCACAACAGGGGGGAGGGGGGCGGCTAAGCCCAGAAATGAACATTTAAGGACTGAAGAAAAAGACAGTTATTTCTTTAAAGTTACCTCTACAGCAAGATTTTCTCCTGTATCGTGGGGGCAGTTTACATATATAAATTGCACAAGGACAGACATCCAGACCAAGAACAATTATTTTGAAGGCCATATAAATACTTTTTCCGTGCAGGATTCAATACTGCAGCCCTTAGTGCTGCAACTCATTGCTAAGCCACTACACATTGTTTTTATGATGATTTTGCTACTTTTCTTACAATTACAAAATTCAGCTTGGTTTTTGAGTATACTTGCGGAGCCACACTCAGCGGTAGCAAAATCATTCATTTCCATATTCTTATCACATTGATTCCCCTTTTCTAAATAGCATTTGTGTAACAGGAATAAGTTAAGTTACGATAAGGCTGACATATCAGACATACGATAAAAGACTTTTTACATCCATAACTTATCACTTACCTAACTCATGTATCTGAACCATACGGCCAAATGTAATAAGACCAACTAAAGCATTTTGTGGCATCAAACTGAGTGATGTTTGTAAGGAATCTTTGAGAGCTCCCAGTTCTTCTTCATCTAAACATGTGTCCACTACCAACAGGAAAATTGGCGGCATTGATTGAGCTCTTGTGATTGTGTACTCAATTGTTGAAAAGTTGGGAATGAGTTCTGCTGGCTGATGCTGTTCAGATATTGCAGCATATTGTGGAGGGAACTGAAATAAATAATTTAAGTATGTTATTTCCATAACATTTAAATATGTTACCAGATTCAACCAATAAAACAAAACAGTTGCTTATAGTTATTACAAAACTAGATTCCACGCTATTTTTTTTATTATACTAAGCCAGCGCTTAACTACAATCCCACCTGATTTAATTATATTTACCGTAACCTGTAATAGACAATGTCTTTATGTAGATTAAGCACCAAGTGCCATCGATGAAGCATGGTATACAGAAAAACCTTGTTAGGTTTTTGCAATACTGTGTTTAATTAATTTAAGTTTTGTATTTGATTTATTTTAATAAATTAATAAAAAAACATAAAAGTAGGTTGTACAAGTAATTATAAAATCAATTTAAAAATAGCTTACTACCTGTTTAATTGTAATGACAATAAATTTAACTTTACATTTATAGTTATTTAATTAATTTACATTTAATTTGTTCGTGACAGCAAATATACAGCTAATATAGCTTTACTTTAACATTTTAACGAAAAATATAATATTTGACTTCATATTACATCAACATTACAGCATGTCACAAGTCTACTGCTGAACATAGGCCTCCCCCAAAGAATGCCATGAAGCAATATTACATACTTATATGAAAATACTTTTTTTTGCAAAAGCATAATGGTATAATTTTCCAATAAAATAAATTGAGAAAAAGTTCAGTTTCAGAAATAGAATTGCAGTTTAATATAGTAATTGTATATATGTTTCAGTTAGAGATTTAAGAAGTTTTCAAAGTACTCACGGGGTTTCTTTGGAAACAGAAATTGCACACCCACAATTTAGCACGATAGTCAACCTGGCACATAGGATTTAGGATTGCACGGCATGTATTACGTGTACACAACACGGGTTCGTACTGTATCGGAGGTAAATCTGGTCGCTCTTTCAGAGGCTGGTATAGGCACGCTAAAGGCACGACCAGTCTTGTAGTCTCAATTCGGCTGGAAGGCCATACATTCCATGTAAACCTTATGCCATCTCTGTCTTCATTTTGTTGGATAAACTCTTCGTACGTCGCCATAACGCTAGTCTTAATGTGAAACAACAAAAAACTCAGGTCAAAATATCATATACAATTATAGACTTATTTTCCATTTTTTTGACATTTTACGTACCAAGTATGCATGCGGCGTTTGAATACAACCCAGTCACATAAACAAAGACCTAGTTATCTGGCGTTCATTCAGGAATTTGTTTAAATTATGGAAGTAATATAATTTTCACCAGACGGGTGAGTCTGGCTGATTTGGCAATTGTCAAAATCATAGACATAGCAGCTGTCACTTTAGCCACGTCACTTTAGGAAACGTAATTATTTATATAGATTTTTTCCAACTTATTAATTTCATTATATATATTTACTTTATTTTTAATTATTCTTCTATAATGATCTAAGTTGTTATTTAAAATATGATTGTTTCTATACAAAATATTAGCATTACTAATAATATAATACACACCATAGCCAAAATACATCATGTTATACTCATGTTGTACCATAGCTTGTAGTTATAAGTTAAAACATTAGTCTGTGGTTTAAACAAATGTTTGTCTCTAGCTTACGTTCCTTTACGGGATATAAATTATTGTACCATTTAAAAAGTATAAAGTTATAAAAAGTATTTAAATTAATGAAATGTATTACTTAGTAATTTTTACCAATGTAATTCTATTATGAGTTTTAAATTAATATTTATGTTCAAATAAAATTTAATATTTTAGATTTTTTATTATGAATGCGGAACACACATATTATGACATTAACCGATAATCGGTAGTAATGAAACGTTGGTGAATGAAACATTTTTTTTTATTTTTAGGACATAGTAAATTAAATTTCAATTGTAGGACATGATTTGTAAAATATCTTATGATTTAATTTGAAACTGCAATTTCCTTTTTACAAGAAGTGGATAAAAAATTACTGACATGTCATTGCTTTGTTTTAAGAGCAGGAAGTTTACGCCAAAAAGTGCGACTGCGCACTGGCCAAATTAGTAGTGTGAAAGAAAATGGCGATCAGCGAAAGGCGTCCGGAGTTAACGTGATGAAAAACATTGTTAAAAGCTCAATTACATAGTGTTATAGTTATTAATTGTGTCAGATGTAGATTAATTAAGTGTTAATGAATAGTGATTGTGTATAATAATGGCTGCGAATATGTACAGAGTCGGCGGTAAGTAACAAAAATTGGTTATTTTTGTTGAAGCTTCGCCGGTTCACCGCCAGCCGACTAGCGGTGCTTTGGTTTGATTGTCGTACCTTTATTAATTACTTACATTAATTAGTTCAGTTATATTATATTGTATTATAAAGTGAAATTTCTAATGTTTTCGCGCGAAAACTATATTTGATTCTCAATTTAACGTTATTTTTATAAGTTATATTTATTTTACCAAATTTCTTCAAATAAGACGACAGTATTGTAATTAGGTATCGTATCGGCTTGCGTATCTGCGTGCGTTCTCAAAGACATGCACTTATGTTACATTGTGCGGTTTATAGCAATGCTTTTTTAACTTCTAAATAGTTTTGTAAGATATTGACGTGAGATTTTAGGTTATATAGTGTTGTCAAAACATTTTTACGAAAGTATTGAAGAAGTTAATTGAAGTAAAGGAAGTTTCCTGCATTGTACACACCACTATTGTATTTGCTAGGCGTAGTTTAATTGGGCTTTACATACTGGTTCTTCGATTCCATGGTTCAGTTGACGGCGTTATGGCGCGGTCCCCGAACACCTCATGTGCCGCGTTCGGCGGTGGCCGCGCCGAATGCTAATTAGCTCTTCCTTATATATTACTTCCTATTATTAAATACCGCGTTATTGAGAACTTGCATTAAAACAGTCAACAGTGATATGATTTGATCTGTCTTTAATATAAACTAAATCCAGCTATATCTTTTTTCTATTGACCTTTTAATACATACATATTTAATTACTTTCTATCTGACAAAGAATTATTTGCCCTACATTAACTACTTTGTTTTTTTTTCTCAAAGCAGTAAACTTCTCTATTGTTTATTATTACATCCTATATAAATCGTTTGAATGTCTCATTTTATAATAATATTACTTGAACAATTCTCTGTTGTAGTCCCATATTTTGTTAGGCTTTTAATGATTCTTTATTAGCTAAATCTTTTAATCAAATATAACAGTTTAGTTATGGCATTACACAGTACAAATGTAAATTTTTCTTGTACTTGAACTATTACTTTAATGTTTGTAAACACTTACTTTGAAGTTTAATGACCTTATTTTTTCATATTTCATATATTCAAATGTTAACAGCTTTGTATGCCTGTACTACTTAAGTTTGTAATGTTTTATTTTAGAAATAATCTTTATATATAAAAATTACATGTCATGTTGTTTGTCCGTGATGAACTCCTAAACCATTGAACTGATTTCAATGAAATATTGCACACTCTGTGCAGTTTCGTTCAACTTGAGAGATAGGATAGTTTTTATCTTGATAAGTGACACTCAATATTTTTTTATTACGAGTTTAAGCATTTTTTATATGAAGGATTGTCGAAAAGGGCAGAACAATGTCTTCCTGGTCAACTGTTTATAAAACATAATCTTGCGTAGGTTGTACAGTTTAATTTTTATTAATTAAAGTGGATCATAAATATCCAGTTTTCTATAACTTTAAAATTTGTGCAAGTACTCTTATTTAAAAGTATTACATATTTGGAATTGAAATATTTTTCATATTTATTACTTTTAAATATATTTTCCTTTGTGGGTCTACTGGAAGATATTTCAGCAAATTATGGAATAATTAGAACCTTTGTACAAACTCACTATAAGACTGCTTCTGTATCTTGTTGTGTGTACATAAATAAATTAAAAAAATTATCTAAACAATAATCAATCAATAAAAAATTGAATCTTAATTGAGGATAATAAATGTAGATATCTATGCACCGCAGCATCCACTTACTGTGTGTTAGTTTGTCACCCTTTTTCTATAGAAAATTTTTCTTTAAAAAATGTCTCAGTCAAGCACTGCTATTTGAGTGTGGTACCTGCTAAGGCAGACTCCTTAGCAGAAAAGGAGTCTTGCCACGTAGTATGTTATTTAAAATCCCACAAGATGTTTTCGTCTTAGTAGAATGGACTGTTTTTAGGGTTGATGTTATAAAAGTAATGTGTATTATTTTATTGGTGCTTCAGATTTTAGAATGTGATACATAGAATGTAGTATTTTATCAATTTTTGCACATTACTTTGACTGTGTAAAATATATTTTATTTTATTCTCCAATACATATTTTGTTCACTTTCCAGATGAGATATTGGGATACCCATATCTTAATGTAACATTAGTAATAAATCATTATAAACCAGAGCTTGACTACAATCTCACTTAATGATAAGTGCTGATGAAGCTTTAGGTGGTAAATCACAGTATCTTAGTGTAACAAAATTTAATATGTATTTTCATTTCAATATCTTTTAACTCATTAAGATTTTATAAGTCCCCAGAAATTTTATTTACAATCATAATTATGCATGTAAACCCCAGGTACATCAATCATCAATGTAATGTGATTAAATATAACCAGCCATGTAAGTCAAATTAACGTGGTAAATGACTAAAGTCATGTTTATCAAACAGGTTCCAGGTTATAGCAATATGGTTATAGAAATATGGAAATGTATTGTCTTTGGTATACTATTTATTACATCTAAAAAGTTTGGATCTTGATTTGGTTGTAAGGAAACAAAGTCTCAGATTGTCATTACAGGTATACAACAGGGTGGGTATCTATTATTCAAACTACAGTAAATTTAAATGTCTTATAGTCAAAACCCATCTACCCCATGTATTTTGCATTTAGGAAGACCATGCTGTGTCACATTGTATCATTGTTGCCTGTCATTCAATCAATTTCTCCACCAGCTGTTTGTGATATCCCTTACATCACATAACAAACAAGACACCAAAAATAAAGATGTAATTTATGCATTTGAAGTAGTTTAAAAAAATCACATATTCAAGCTGCCATTGTGACTAAATGACATTTCAAAATTCAATAAGTTTATTAAATCATTCATTCATTAAAGTCTATCAAAAGTTCGCCGCTGAACTTAGGCCTCCTCGATAGATTGCCTGGTAGAGGGGTTCCTGGACCATCTGGCTTACATTGCAACTATGGCAAAATCCCCCATTGGACAATCTATAGGGGAGACCTATGTTCAGTAGTGGACTTACAGGCAGTAATGGATTGAGGTATTACAATTTTTGCGTCGTGCATTGGCGGCGTAAGACAATCCACTACCCAATATCATCCTGTAAGTGTGCATCCCTTTTCTAGTGTGAGACCGCTTCTTCATCAGCCCTTTAAAGTCTATTGCTGAACATGGGCCTCACCATCCGATTTAACTCATACGTAGCGCTTGACAGACGGATTCACAATGGCAAGTACCAGACGTTTCGCACCTTTGACGCAGTTGTCCTTATATGGTCTTAGTATTCGTCTGGTGAAAACACGATAACCGTGTAATGGCGGTATAAAAATATCCAATACCCCATATCGTCCCGAAGGTGTCGTAAGAGGCGACTGAGGGAAAATTAAGCAGGAGATATGAATGAATGGACGGAAAACGTGATGGTTATATACCGCCCCACCATTAATGCGTATGATAGTAAATGATTTACATGGCAAAAGAGTTCGCCATTGATTTTACATGATATATGACGTTACGGTGCAATTAGTTGAATGCCATGTCTAAGATTTAACTGGCATTTCTGTTACGCAAGATTAGTCGCACTTACACGCTTAGAAAGTGGAAATCCATAAGCTCTACCTACCTCTCACCCCAGCGACCCAGAGCGATAAGATATTACATACGCATAGTGACATAGAGTAGACGCGAACTCATTAATGTTAAGAATATTTTAATTCTTTAGTTTTACTATTTGCAAGCAAGTTCAGGAACACACGATCGATTTCTTTACGGTATCGATATAAGAAGCACTGGCGTGCTTAGTCATTCTGGAAAATCGCCAACAACGACCAAATATATCTCATCTACGTTTTTTTTGTTCTGTTATAAAAATATATTAGCCAATTAAGAGATTACCTATTCAAATCATTAATGTGTGTGCTTGCGATAACATCATTAGGTAATGCTTATCAGGGTACGTACACGTCAGCGTGTAATGTCGGAGAGTTCCGTCGTACGGTTATTGTTTATCTGCAGAAATGTTGGGTCATTTCAGACAGATTCCAAAACCAATAAAGTTTGTTTCATACAAATATTAGCACCGATTGGCATTCCGAAACGAGACAAAGTAGTCACATAGAATATCGACCTCATTATGGCATAGTAGAGTATTATTTTATGGCGGCGCTGTCGTCGCGCTGTGGCCGTGAAAAGGAAAAAGGGAGATCTCCCGCCGGGCAAGGTATTCAGCCCAGGGAGCAGCTGATATACTGCTTTTACTTTGGAATTTTGATAGCGCGATTTAGGCTTCGATGTATTTTCGGGGGTGATGTGGCGGAGCTGTCGTCGCACCACAATTTAACTGGATGACCATGAAGTTTGAACCGCGAGTACCTGATACGGAGTTCAAAACTCGAAATCCATTCGATTCTAGATGTCTTGTAATTGTTCCGATGACTTCTAGTCTACCATTCTAGTGTATTCTAGTCTACCATTGATCTTACTGCATAGTATTTTTTTATAGGATACGGCTGACAAATGAGCACACACAGTCCACCTGATGTTAGATGTCTATCATACATCTACATCCATCGTCGATTACGAATCAAAATGCAGATGCGTTGTCAACCGTGAAGACTAAGATGGAATGTCACGTTACCACTAACAAGGGTTAATAAGTTAATAGTGTTTTTATCGCGGAACCAAGCGCAAACCATGTAATAGTGCACTAATCATCTTGATATATCAAAGGCGGGTGTCGAGAATACGCACGACGCACGAAAAGCAGCTACGCGTGGCGTGTTGCCGTCAGTTTTTGGACTTTTGTTGCAAAAACAAAGCGGTTTTGGGTCGGATTATTACTGGAGATGGATAGTTACAACCCATCTACATTTTTATTCTTAGAGTAGATGTCGTAGTATCAACTTACCATGAGGTGGACTATGTGCTCGTTTGTCATCCTTATTCTACAAAAAGAAAATATAGGAAAGCGAC